GTTTCATTGATAAAATAAGTATAAATTATAAAAATACAATGTATTTTTAATTATTATTTCATTGATCCTTTAAAACTTAACAAAAATAAACTTCAAAATTTTTTTTTAACCACAAGGGTATGAATTTCAGTAGGATTTTATGTTTCCATTCTACAATAATAAAAACAATGGAAAATACTGAGGGAGTGTAAATTCTACCAAGAAATAGAAACTTTTGCTTTCATATTTCAAAACAAAACACCTCAACTTTGCACTTCATGCATGTGTATAGTGCTGATTTTTTTTTTTTATTTATGCTTATTATGTCAACTAATTTGTATTATTTCTAACACATGTAATAGGACTGGAGCCCACATTTAAATAGATATGCCATTTTCATTATGTATAAAAGTAAATGGCCTCACAAAATGAAAAATTCTAAGCTACTCTTGAGATCAAATGATAGGTTTCCTTCATTATTTAAAGAATTTTAATTATTCTTCAATAAATTAATTGGTTAATTCTTGTGAAATAGCTTTACCTGAGGTAATTGGACCTGCTCTGAGCAAGGTGTTGGACTAGGTGACCTCCAGAGGTCCCTTACTACCTAAATTATTCTATGATTCATGGTTTATTTAGAAAGTATGCGGGAACTCAGCCTGTTCCACATTTGTCTGAAAGATGTCAGTCTTAGGGAATAATGTGTATTATAGTTGTTTCAGTGAGAAGGAAAATACTGTCTTCTGAAGCAAAAGGATTATAAAATTCTTCCACAATTACTCTACAGTGAAATGTTGTGCAATATGTTGACTTCACACATTATTTTAGAAGGGTATTTAATTCCCCAATTTGACACTAGTAAGGTAATTTCCCAATGAATTTGTGGTGCAGGATGAAGCCCTGAGGAACTGCTTTAGTGAAGTAGCAATGTCAGAGCAAAATGGGTGGAAAATGTATTTCATAATGTAAAAGTTCTGCATCATTGCTTCCATTACTCATGAGAGTGGCTCTGCAGGACAGGATCACATGGGACTTGTTAGCTAGAGATGGGAAGAGGGAAGCCAAAGCAAGGCAAGGCAAGGCAAGAGGCTCAGGTTTAAAGTCACAAAAACAAAAAGCAAACACATCTTAGAATAGTCATCCATTTCCTGCACCGTACATGCATCTTGTCTTTACAAGGATGACCTGTACTGCAGTTCCACTCTGTCTTGCTTCCATTTCGCAAGGACATTATTTCAGTTGTACAGTTTTACAGTTTTGCATCAATGTCCAGCAGACCACTGAGGGGGAAAAAAATGACAAAAACAAATAAACACTCCCCCTCCATGGAATTTCTTTCACATTGAGTATTTTGGTTTATGCCTTAGTATGTCTCTTCATGTTTTCTTTACATCCATGAGAGATTGGGTGGGCTTCAATCTGTTCCCATTGAAAACAATAGTTTTGCCATTGTCCTCCAGGGATTAGAAGACTCTGTATGACTCATTTCTTTTAAAGTTTGATTATTTCATATATTCAAATGATATGTAGATGTTTCTGGCAATCACCCAGAATCTGGCCCAGTTTCTGGCCACACTGTAAGCATATACAAAGTGTTCAACATACCTATTTAAGGGACATTAAAAGAGAATGACTGTATTAATTTGCTTAGTCAAAAATCAAAGCACAAGTATAATGACCATACTTACAGTAGGCTAATGGTTTCCCTGTTAACTTCCTCATGGAAACTACTGTGTATTAATACTAAATACTAGATATATAACAGCAATTATAAATAAGGAAGATATTGCCACTGTTCTGCTATTTCTAGCATTAAAGAAGCCAGAAATGATTGCTATTGAATGCTGTATTACTAGAAAATAAGAAGGGGGGATTTTTTTCAAATGTTCATTGAAATCTGTATATTGTAGGGGATCAAGAATAGGATTTTTAGTATTTCTAAGTGCTGTCTTAATTCTTTCTGTTAACCATCTAAACAGAAAAAAACATCATGATACAGTTGGGAAAATGACACTCTAAACTTAAAATATTTTTCAAATACTGGACAATTTAATGCAAGCAATAAAAAGATACAAGTTGAAGTCTGCCAAGAGCTTTGTAAGTTGACTAGTTGTCTATGCTTTAAACAGAAGCTGTGCTGCTGGAGAACGTGATAAAATAAAACTATTCGTGAAGCCAACTGATTTTCATTTTGAGTTCTCTGGCTCACTGGTCTGAACTTCCAAATAACGATCAGAGAGCTTTTCCTAACAGGAGAGTGTACTCAGGGGAATAACATTTGGATGAATAGAGGAAAGGACTTCCTAAGCTTCTCTGTGATTATTTGGGTCAGGGTAACTGTACCTTATTAAAGACAAAGTTCTCCCTGAAACTTTTCCCACATTCAGACTATAAGAGCAGTTCTTGGTTTGCCACACCAGTGGGAAGACACTTGTGCTCTAGGATTCACACAGTTGCAAAAACGCTCAAGGAAACCTTTCTATGAGCAACTGTCATAAACTATTTGTCCTTCTGGCATTAATAACCATATGCAAGGACTCAGCTATAGGAGGATTTTTTTAAGTCATTCTTTTTCAAGAAAATGCTCTAAGTAGCAAGCTACCACCACTTTTACAAAAAATAACATTCACAGTTTAAAGAGAATAATGAAAATACATTAATTTTATACTGTTTAATACAAGAAAATTTTCTCTCAAAATGATAGCAAGGAGATATTCTTCAAAAGCAGGAGATAGAGCTAGTCAAAAAATGCAAAGAGCTTTCTGTGGAGAGACATTGAAAATTTGTCCTCCCCCCCTTATCCTTTTTGGATTTTTAGTCTTCTAGAGAAAAGATTTCTATGACAAAACCATTGGTGCAGAGGAGGGCAAGGGGGATCTTGGCAGAGGAATTACCACCCGAGTTTTTCCTTAGCTCAAGTAAGTTTTCTTTTACCAACTGAGGATAAAGGACTTGTACAAACCCTGTTTTAACTACAAGAAACTCCTAAGAATAGGAGAGTGTAGGACTTTCCCTAAGGGTGCATTTGTTGAATTGCAGCCTAGACATCCAAGAGAAGCCGTGGAAGCCGCACCACTTGAGAAGCTAGTACAAAGAGCCATCCTGTACTGGTAAAAGAAATGCATAAGGTAACCTAGTAGTTCATTCCAGTATCTTATTTCTAAGTTTCTGTAACTCCTTATATCCTGTAGGACAAATGAAATGCTGTGAATGCTGTGCCAAAAGAAAAAGGGCAGGGGTCCTGCTGTACTTACCCATGTTAAACAGTATTTATTCCATACTTAGGAGAAGAAAGTTACCCTCTGAGTAACAAAAGCATAGCTTGGTCCAAAATAGGATCAAATTAAGCCTTGCATTAATTAATTTCATGAGATTGTAAACCACATACGCTAATAAATGAAAAATGCCTGAGAGCTGTATACTGTTTTGGAAAACAGTGAATAATCAAGAACAACTGAACAGTTGGTACATGAACTCCACACATTTCAGGAAAGAGTCTACAGACCATAGCTGTAAAATGTTAGACATTTTAAAAAATATTTTCTCTGAACAATCGATACAGCATAATTGCTACCAGTTGCAAAGAAAAATAAAAGACACACAAGAACTGGGACTGAGAACAAACTGAACTTCCACAAAACGACCTTATTTTTCAAAATTATCAGGTTTTAGATGTTCTTGGAGTTTTCATTTAGATATTTCATTAGGTGCTGTTGTTATAATTAACTGTTGTCTCATTGCTAGCAGGACAGAAATATTTTACAGAAAAGCTGTCTTATAGCATTCCACTTAATATAATCATTTTCCAACCTATCATTTACAGTGCCAAGACTGGAAAAGAAATTAGTAAAACTGGGCTTGCCTATTACTCTACACAGTGCTGATGTGGGTTGTTTCTTTTTCTTGGCACCCAGCATCCCAGCAGTTCTCTTGCAATAACTCTGTGATGTGGGTCCCCAACCACCTTCTCTCAATATACCTTTACATCCTTACTTGACTCTGCAAACATGGGTCATCAAATTCCACCACTGCCCAGGCAGACTTGTATACTTTTACAACGAGCTACTGCTAGCTTTAGATTCCTTGCGTTGGTGTTTTATGTACCAATCTACAAATTTATCTCGCCAGGGATTTTGTCCTCTTCTGTCTGATGCCAGATGTTTCTAAGGCATCACTGTACACATATAAATGGGAATCTCTGATACGCATTGGCATAGAGAGCACTTGAGGACCTTTCTGACTGGCACTAGCCTAAGGTAAGTTGCATTATATTGTCTGGAAAACGCAATGATTTCTCAAAAATGACACAAACAAAACTGTCTCTTCCTTTAGCCACAGTTTATTTTTCAAGTGTCGCCAAACCAGCCTAGTAAGGAAAAAAAGGCGTTGGAGCTTTCAGCACTGTGTATGGTAGGTTGGAAAGTGAGGATGTTTAGCAAACAGCTACAGCTTTCCCCTGCAGTCTCCTAGTGTGTTCAGTTTACCGCACGTGCGTTAAATTCATGAACGCCCGGATGGCTCCTGGCCGGGATGGAGAGGGTAGCGAAGTGGTAGCAGAGGGGTGATGGCCCGGACGTGCCGAGCGCCGTGCCGCCCTGTGTGCCACCGGCCGGTACTTACACTTGAGCCAGCGGGCTCCGGCGTGCGTGTCCTTGTCCCGGATCAGCCTCCTCTGCGTGCAGCTCCTGCAGAGGTACCACAGCATCCACAGCAGCTGGATGAGCATCAGCGTGATGAGGTAGGAGAGCAGGTGGCTCTTGCTGATGCCCACGGCATGCACAGCCCAGGCGAAGGTGAGCAGCAGCCCGGCCAGGAAGAGGTTGATGCCGTACTGGCTGCTGAGGATCTCGGCGTTTTTCTGCGGGTAGCTGCCGCCCACGGAGGGGGAACCGGCGCCTTCCTCCATCTCCCGCGCCGCCGGCCGGGTGCTGCGAGCAGGCGGCCCCGCTGCCCCCGGGGT